ACAGTTCACAAAAGTGCCTAAGCAGGTCCAGGAGGGGTTAAAGAATGCACTGCTGATCTAAAAACTGCCACTCTCTTATGCAATCTGTGCAATCTTGTAGTTGAATCTGGGTGTGAAATTATCAAATGACTAGGGAATATGATATACGACTGGGAAGTAATATAAAAGAATTACACATACTACCATATCTGTACATTTTGTTCAATGAACCCATTGTGATTTTTGACAAGAAGCAGCAATTTCCAAGTATTAGATGTTTAAATGATTTAATTTTTGTTGTTCTTGTTTGTCTTCACTATTTTATGAAGAAGTACAGGTTGTGGGTTATGTCTAAAATAGATCATTACATGAATTCCAGATAAAAGGGAACGCAACCGAGACATTAGTGAACACACAGGGAAATACCATGAGAAATATAATTTACGAAGGATACAATGATCAAATTTTTTTTTTGTTTTTGAGATGAGGTCTCACTATGTAGCCTCGGCTGGCCTGGAACTCACAGAGATCTGCCTGTCTTGCCTCTCATGTATAGGGATCAAAGGCATATACCATCACACCCAGCTGCTTTTGATTTTGTTGTTTTGAAATAAGGTTTCATGTGGCTCGGGATGGTCTTGAACTTCTGCTTATCTCCCAAGCACTGGGATGACAGCACACACTTCCACATCTACCTGGTTTTTTGTTTTCTTCTTTTTGATACAGGATCCCATGTACTTCTGATTCCCCTTCTTCAACCTCTTGAATGTTGGGGTCACAGGCATGTATCCCCGCTACAGTTCACTATTTATTTACTTACTTTTTTTGAAGCAGGGTATCCTGTAACGTAGGCTAGGGTCATATTGGGTATATAACCAAGGAGATCTTCAACTTCTGTTCTTCTTGCCTCTACTCGGATCGTAGGTGCACAAGTGCACATCGTCATCACAGTGTATACAGGACAATTGAAACTAGGGCTTCGTCCATTCTAGTCCATTCTAGGCAAACACTTTCCTGAGCTACGGTAGTCTTTTGTCTTTTGTTTAGTTGTTTTGTTTTTGAGTTTTTGAGACAGAGTCTCTCTACGTAGTCAAGCTGGCCTTAAACTCACTACATAGCCCAAGTCAGCTTTGAAAACTTGTCAATATTCTTTTTTTTTTTTTTTTCTGAGACAGGGTTTCTCTGTGTAACAGAGTCCTGTCTGTCCTGGAACTTGCTTTGTAGACCAGGCTAGCCTTGAGATCCTCCTGCCTCTCCCTCCCAAGTGGAATTAATGGCGTGTGTCACCATGTCCGTCCAGAACTTGTCAATATTCTTGCTAAGCATTCCTCAGTGTTAAGATTCAGGCATGAGTCACCGCTATTGGCTCATTTGAATTAAATCACTGAAGTTGAAAAGAATAAAATGAGCCGGGCGGTGGTGGCGCATGCCTTTAATCCCAGCACTCGGGAGGCAGAGGCTGGTGGATCTTTGTGAGTTCGAGGCCAGCCTGGTCTACAGAGTGAGATCCAGGAAAGGCGCAAAGCTACAGAGAAACCCTGTCTTGAAAAACCAAAAAAAAGCCGGGCGGTGGTGGCGCACGCCTTTAATCCCAGCACTCGGGAGGCAGAGGCCGGCGGATCTCTGTGAGTTCGAGGCCAGCCTGGGCTACCAAGTGAGTCCCAGGAAAGGCGCAAAGCTACACAGAGAAACCCTGTCTCGAAAAACCAAAAAAAAAAAAAAAAAAAAAAAAGAAAAGAATAAAATGAAATTCTAGGGGTTTTTTTGTTTTTTGCTTTTGTTGTTGTTTGAGAGAAGGTCTCAAACTGTAGTCCAAATAGAACCCCAGGTTTGTACTGATCCTCTTGCTCCAGCCTGAATCTAGGTTTCTATGTTGCTACAAAGCATCAACACAAAAATTTTCCTACTAAGTAGTTTTTCAGGCTGGTAAGATGCTCAATGATCCTCAGAACTCCATAAAGGTGGAAAGAGAGAACTCACTTCACGAAGTTGTCCTCTGACTCAAAACATGCATCATGGCACACTTGCCCACATACATGCACATACACATACAGTAATAATAAATACATTTTAAAAATTCAATTGATTATCTGTGTATCCTCCATAATGGGAGTTAACAGCTTAGATACAAGATTGTAAAACATCGGCAGCGAACTTCTGCCCTCCGGGGTTCTCCCATTGTGCTGTAAGCCTGTATTTAAGACCTCCTCCCTCCTTCAATAAATGGCATTTGGCATTAAAAAAAAAAAAAATTCAATTGAGCCAGGCAGTGGTGGCACACACCTTCAATCCCTGCATTCGGGAGGCAGAGGCAGGCAGATCTCTATGAGTTCAAGGCCAGCCTGGGCTACAGAACAAGTTCCAGGACAGCCAGAACTACACACAGAGAAACCCTGTTTCAAAAAATTAAAAAAAAAATTCAATTGAAATAGTTTTTTTTTTTTAAGAATGTATCTGCATTCATTTAGTTATAACGAATGCTTGCTGTTCATGGTGGCTCATGCTTATAATCTCAGCACTTGGAGGCTAAGACAGGAGGATCATTGGATGTTTGAGAACAACCTGATCTGCATACTGAATAGCCCGCCCACCTAGGCTACAGAGAGATGCTGTCTCAAAAATTACATATATGTATACACATACACACACACACACACACACACACACACACACACACACACACACACTATTAAGTGCAGGGCCTGCTGGGGTGGTGGGTCCTGGACCTGTGGAATCCCAGTCTAGAGACTTAACTGTCAAAGCCAAGTCACATTTTGGGTATCCCTCTTCATTTTGCTTTTCTCTAATCAGAGGAAATTTGATAAACTAGGGAGCACAATGGAAAAAAGCCAATAAAGGACAGAGAAGAGCTGAAGAAAGGGAAGAGGCCTGGGCACTTCTTGACTTGTTAATTAGGGCCAGAAAGGGGATTTCCTATACCCTAAGTGTGTTTCAGTCTCATAGGTTTGGCGAAAGGAATATGCGCTCAGTGATTCACCCCGCTTTCTCAGTACTGCAGCTCGGCCTGGTGCATTGCAATTTCCTCTTCATATATTATGTAGTGACTAATGGAAGGGCTAGGCCACCAACCAATGCTTTACTCCAACTCAAAGCTATAGGATTTCAACTGGCCTCAGCCTGTTGGGCAATAGGAGGTCTGAATCTTCTTATCAAATGAGTGGTGCTCTCAGAAGTTACAAGGGACTTCCCTTGGGACTTGTTACAACAGAGGGCAGTGGCCATAGAAGTTTGAGGGTAGTTTCCTGTTTGCTCTGCTGTATCTCGGGGTGGCTCTGAAACTCTTTCTTCCCTCTGACAGAGGAAAATGCTCACAGGGTTGATTAATTATCACTAAGAATTCACTGAAGAAAATTGGGCAACCTCTATCAGATGCTGAGATGAAAGGATAGGCAGTTTCTGATGACACAAATGGAAATCCGAGGTCTGTAGGTGACGCTCTGTAAAGGGCCCACTCCAGAGATACCTGCTCTGGGGCCTCCTTTGCTTGGAGAGTCTCCCCCATACCAGCAGCATTCCAAGGCCTGATGAAGTGGCCGAATTCACAGCGGGCAAAGCTTTGTTAAGGATTTACACATTTAAAATCGGCAGGGTTTTAGGATTTGTGACTAGCTTTGTAGACACAGAGACACAAACTGAACCATCTTGAATACCTCAAAAACCTTGCCCATGTGGCTGCTGGCATCAATACTCCACACAAAATTAAAAACTAGTTCCCACGATGTGCACCCTGTGCTCCATTTGATATTTTAATAACTTGATTAAAAATTTCCCAGATGTCTGTTAGAGTCAGGAAACAGTCTGTGGTGTAGGTGAGGATTTGTTTTTGCAACGGAAACTTTTAGCCCCCATGAACAGACTAGCCAAACCCCCTCATTTACATGTTTATCCTCCATCCTCACTTGAATGAACAATGAAGTGAAAGCCTGTTTGGAAAAACGGGCTTTGAGGTTTGCTTCTCTCTCTCTCTCACAGCCAGGTGGACTCACAGGATCCAATTTTCAAACTGTCTTTTATTTTCCACTCTCGAATACATTTGGGCGCTCGCTATCAGAGACATCATTATAAATAAAATTAAAAAGATCAAAGCCGGGGGTCGTGGTACTCTCCGGTGATACAAGCATTCGGAAGGCCGAATCAGGAGGATTGCCCTCAATTTGAGGCCAGTCTAAATCTACATAGTGAGCTCCAGGCCACCTAGACCTACATAGCAATACCATGTATCTAAATAAATAAATGCAGTCGCTATAAATATGGTGTGGGTAACCTGGGGGAATTATTTTAATGAAAATAACGAATAGCTGGACATGGTGGCGTATGCCTGGCAGAGGCAAGCACAGCTCTGTGAGTCTGAGGCCAGCCTGATCTACATAGTGAGCTCCTCCAGGCCAGGGAGGGCCAAAAAAAAAAAAAAAAAAATCAACATGAACAAGAACAAAAAATCCATAAGCAAACGAAAAAACCCTCCAAAAACTCGATAATCTGGGGTGGTGGTGGTGGTTAGAGTACGATCTGCCCTTTCTTAATTAAAAATGAGTCTTATAGTCCTTTGGCCAGCTCACTGCAGAAACTGCTATGAAAAACCCCGAAGGGCTGGGTTGCTGTCCAAGCCATGGAACTCCATTCCCCCGTGCGAGCTCAAGCCTGCCGGCCTGGGTCGCGGCAAGTCGCTGGAGGTCTTTCCCCTGCTTGCAGACATCGAGGTTCCCCAGGGTCGGTGTCCTCCTGCGTACACCACGGGGCAGGGCCGGCCGCCTCAGGCTCGCCGCCACCAGGTCGTGGCAAAAATCTCTTCCCTTCTCGGGGGCCCCAGAAGCCAGGCCGCCTCCCTCCTCCCTCCCTCCCTCCCTCCCTGCCTGCTGGCGGGGCCCTTTCCCAGCCCGGGATCAGCAGCCGCCGCGGGAGCGACGGCAGGAAGCGAGGCCCTTGTTGATGCTGTTCCGCGGCGCGCCCGCCCGCCCTCCGGCGGCCTCTCGGCTCTTCCGGGCTGCCGGCGTCCCCCCCCCCCCTCCGCGCGTGCGCAGTGCCCCACGAGGGGGCGGGGCTCAGATTCCTGTCAGCGGCGGCGGCGGTGGCGGCGGCCGTCAGTGTGCGCTGAGGAGAAGCCCGAAACGGACCCTTTGGCTCTCCCTCTCCCTTTTCGCCGCCCGAAACCGTCTTCTCTCTGGACTCACCGGGAGTCAGGTCTCTACTCCGCAGAGCCGCTCTCCACCACGCCGCCCTTCTCGTCGCTCGGCCGGGTGGGAAGTGACTGCCCTCGAGGAGGAGGAGGAGGAGGAGGAGGAGGAGGCAGCGGCGGCCGCCCTCGCCTCGCCGCCCCCGGTTCGGTGCCCGCGGTCCCGGAGAGGAGGTGCCGCCGCCACCGCCGCTCCCCCCCTCCCGCTGCCCTCGGGCCGGGCTGGGTCGAGCTGCGATGCCCTCGGACTTCATCTCCTTGCTCAGCGCGGACCTAGACCTGGAATCGCCCAAGTCCCTGTACTCGCGAGGTGAGTCAGATGGGGGGGTGGGGGGGGTGGGGCGTGGGGGCGGGGAGCGCGGGCGCGCGGAGTCCCGGGGGGTCCCCGTCGGAACCCCGGCGCAGCCTGGCCTGGCCCTCTCCAGGGTCCCGGGCCGGCCGTGGGGCGCCCCGGCGGGCGGGCCGGGGGTGATTTCGGAGCTGCAGAGGGGCGGCCCCTCCCCGGCGCGGCGCGGGGCGCCCGGGGACTCTGGTTGTGCGCTCCCCCCACCCCCCGAGTCCCCTGCGGGGCCCCCCGAGGTTCGCAACCTGACGGCGGCCGGCCGCTCCCGGCTCCGCCAGCCTGGGCGGGCCGCCGGCCCAGTCCTCCCCCGGCTCGGGAATCACCCCACTGGTCCCCGTGCTGGGGCCGCCAGGGGGTCGGGACGCCGGGGCTCCTGTCTGCCGGACTCTCCTCCCCGGCAAAGTTGCCCCACGCCGGGCTGCGTGGCCCCAAGCGGCTTCCGAGCCCAGGGTCACCATTTTTTCCTCCCTCTTTCGGCTTGTTTGTGCGCGGTCCTCCTATCCTCCCCCCCCCCCCCCCTCGCTCCGGCCTAGTCCACTCCCTCCCCATGTCGGGACGGCCCCCCTCGACCAGGCGTTCTTCCTTTCCTCGTCATCTTCTTGCCTGGAAAAGGCCCGAATTTGCTTTTTTTCTCTCTCTTCATCTCCGTGGCATTCTAATTACTTCTTTTACAAAGATAGGGATGCCCTCTCTGGATTACTTGTGTTCCTCTCCCTGGAGTACCAGGCTCGGGCACAGTCTTGCCCTTTGAGAAATTTCTCTTCTTGGCTGTTCAAGGGCTTCTTGCAGAGAGGAGGCAATGAACAGAGCTTCTCATTTAAAACTATTTTTTTGGCCAAGGCCTTCAGGGGATTCCCAGCATCTAAAACATTAACACTTGAGGTGATCTCTGCTGGGGTTAAATTCCTACACTGGACACCACAAGAATGTGTCAGAACAGGTTCCCTTTGCAACGGGTATTAAACCCAAAATACCCACATTTGCACTCATCACCACTTAATACCAGTGGGAGGGGGCAAAAGTTCTTAACGATTCATTTATATTTTAAAACATATACCACGGTGAACCCTTTTCCCGAGAAATCCAGCATTTTTTCTGTTTTTAGTTTTACAAATCCACTGGATAATTTCACTTCTTGGGGGTAGGGGACAGGAGGGGACTTAAACTTGACATTAGTGCATTCATATTGTTTAATTGAATCAGAGGGATGTGGTTTACCCTGGAAGGTGCTGCTGACTTTAAAGACTATTGAGTTTGTACACAGAGCCCTACTTAGTAACTGTTAGGCCATTGTCTGTTGCTCTGATGACTTTAGTTGGCAGACACTATCCTGTAGGATGGTTCTCAGATATTACCTGAAATAGCTTAGAAATATTGTAGTTTGAAGTGTCAGAAGGAAAAGAAAAGATCAAGAAGTGTTCCTTAGAATAGGGCTGAGGTACAATTGGATGCTAAAAATAGTCAAGACAGTAACACCATTTGGGCAGTAATCGTCAGATAATTTTCCATGAAACAAATGCTTTATCAAAATCTAAGTTTAGCTTAGAGACCAGTGTAGAAGCAACCCAACCTTCCTTTTGCAGGAAATAAACTAAACTAATATGGGCTTAAGCTCTTAAAAATACATAATAGTTATATAAGAGATGTATGCTATCCTTGGCATTTTTTTTCTCATTCAGCATAAAAAGTACTTAATGCTTTTTGTGTTTTTCAGATTCTCTGAAGTTACACCCATCACAGAATTTTCATAGAGCTGGACTATTGGAAGGTCAGCAAAATGCCGTTTTTACAGCATGTTGTGTCAGGATGCAAAGGCTTTCTCTGAGATGGAGTTGAAATGGAAAAGTGGGAAACTTTGCAGACTCACACAATGTAGTTTTTTTGCTAAGGAGCCTGATCCTTCTTTTAGAGCAGCTAAATGTTTCAGTGGATTTCGTTGTTGGACTTGAAGTGCTTGTAGGCCATTGTATCTGCTTTGAGAGGCCTTGGGGAAATCCCTCATAATCATTTAAAATTATGTGTTGGGTGTTCTACTTTAGAATGTCAGTTAATTTTTCTTTTAACACAAACTGAATTTGAAAAGGTTCAAACATAAAGATGATAAATTAATAAATACAGCAGTGACACCAAACACATACTTAGTTTGAAAGTTCCAAATTGAAAACTTTTGGATATTGTGCATTTCAAAATGATATGTAATTTTTTTGTTTGTTTTTGTTTTTTGAGACAGGATTTCTCTGTGTAGTTTTGGAGCCCGTCCTGGATCTCTGTAGACCAGGCTGGCCTTGAACTCATAGAGATCCTCCTGGCTCTGCCTCCCGAGTGCTGGGATTAAAGGCGTGCGCCACCACCACCTGGCACAAAATGTTATATAATTTATTTACCAATTATCGATGTGATTTCTATATCATATCTAAGGATGAAAAAAGCTAAGTAATCAAGATAATTAAACTATGCTTGGAAAAAAAAGCCCATAGAATGTTCTGGAAAAAGTTAATAGGATATGTACCTTAAACAGATGACAATTACTTTACTTTAAAAACCTTTTTTCTTTTCTTTTTTTTTTTTTAAGACTTTACACTTAGCATCTTTGAATTTTAGAGTCTTGTTTTAGATAGCAACGATATTAATTATTTCTCCATTATTTAGAAATGGGAAACAAACTGAAAGTAAGAGACTTGGGCGGGGGGGAAGGTCAACAGCAGCAGAAACAATCCTTTCTGTGTTGTCGTCAGTACTCCTTACCCAAAGCCACGTGCCACTGTGAAATAAATATATGTATCCAGTAACAAGTATTTATGATCTCTTTGAAAAGGGCCTTGGATATTTCTGTTATGTCTTGAATATAGCTTTTTCCTCTCTTAGAGGTAGGTAGTCCTGTAGATACAATGGGGGAAGTGAGTGTTGTAATTGAGCTTAGGTTTAAATACCAGTTTAGCAACTTCTTCAGCTCTGTGACCTGGGGCAAGTGATTTCACTATTCTAAACTTTATTATTCCTTCTATAAAATGTAGGTATCTCCTTAGTTAACTAATGTGTATTAAAGTGTCTAGTTATAGTGTTGGGCTTTATTAATTATTTTATTATTGGACAGTACTGGGGATTTTTTTTTTATTTATTTTTGTTTTTTGGGACAAGTCTTACTATGTAGCTCTTCGTTGTTCTGGAACATCTCCGTATTTAGACCAGACTGGCCTGAAACTTAGTTCTGCCTGCTTCTGATTTGAGTGCTGAAATTAAAGGGTGTGCCACAATGCACAATAGTACTGGGGATTTAACCTGGGTCAAGAGTGAGAGACAAATGTTCTGAGCTATATAGCCCTAGCAGGGAGTATCGTAATTAGAGAGATTATCAGGTAGGAGAAAGACAGGGGAAATGTGTTAATTATTTAAGGATATATTTTATAAATGTTAAGGATTTTCTTTCTTGTTTATTTTTTGTTGTTGTTTGATTATTTTTATGTGTATGGGTGTTTTGCCTGCCTGTATGTCTGTGTAGCATGTGTGTGCCTTCTGCTCACAGAGACCAGAAAAGAGCGTTGGATCTCCAGAGACTGGAGTTACAGATGGTTGCGAACTGTCATGTATGTGCTAGGAATCAAACTTGGGTCCTCTGGAAGAGCAGCCAGTGATTTTCTGAGCCATCTTTCCAATCCCCTAAAAGTTAGTTTTTTAACTTTAGCACCAGCTATATTGTTTTAACAATATAATTTAGAGCATATAAAAGGTTCTCTTACATTGTACCTATAAGAATCGCACAAGTGTGTGTGTATTAGTGTGAAGATGTTTTTTAAACTACAGTCTGAAGAAGAGAGACATTTTTAGAAGGGATGTTTTGTTTTGTTGTGCTTTTTGTTCTTTTGGAGACAGAATTTAACTATGTAGCCCTGGCTGTGCTGGAACTCAATGTGTAGACCAAGCTGGCCTCAAACTCACATCTTCTGTCTCCCAAGTGCTGGATTTAAGTTGTGTAGAAGTGTTTTTTGTTTGTTTGTTTTGCTTTGTTTTGGGTTTTTCGAGACAGAGTTTCTCTGTATAACAGCCCTAAGTGTCTTGGAACTCACTCTGTAGATCAGTCTGGCCTGGAACTCAGAGAGATCCGCCTGCCTCTGCCTCCTGAGTGCTGGGCATAAAGGCGTGTGCCATCAATATATGGCTTTGTGTTAATTTTTTAAATACTCTGTTTTATTCTAAGAAGAGTATATTCTAGTTCATTTCTTTGTTCTCTTGATTTTCCTTTGCCATCTTTGCAAGATGAAGTATATTAGGAGACTAATGCTTCTGGTGTATCAGTATCTTGTAATATGTGTCAAAATTGCAGTCCCAGCAGGTGAGGTTGGGTGAGGCAGGAGGGGTGCAGAGATGGAAACAAAGCTAGTGAGTTCCTGGCTACAGGATGTGAAATTTTACATGCGCACACACAGTGGGAAAAATTGTTGAACATAAATCTCTGCAGAGGGCTGTATGTCAAGAGCTTGCCACTGAATTCTTTAAAAACATGTGCCATAGTACACATGTGGAGGTCTGACGACAGTTTTCAGGAATCAGTTCTTGCTTTCCACCATGTGGTCCTGGGGATCATACTCAAGTTGACAGGCTTGTTGGCAAGTGCCTTTACTTTACCCGCTGAGCTACCTTATAGGCCCCATGATTCACTGAATTATTTTTTTGTGTGTGCATGTATGTGTGTATGCATGTGTGTACCTCCGTGTAGAGCCCAGAGGTTCCTCAGTCTATCCCTGCCTTTCTGTTGAAGTTTCTCACTGAGCCTGGAATTAACTAATTTGGCTAGACTGACTGACCAGCAAGCCCCCAAGGATCCTTCTGTTTGTGCCTCTCTGGTGCTGGGATTACAGGCACAGGTAACTTTTTATATGGGTGCTAGGGCTCTGAATGAACTTAGGTCTTCATGCTCACATAGAAAGCACTTGCCCCACAGAGTCATTTCCCCAGCCACTGAATTCGTTCATGTTCATTCATTTCTCTTTTTAATTGTTTTTTGGGTTGTTGGGTTGTGGGTTTTTTTTTTTTTTTTTTTTTTTTTTTTTGTGTGTGTGTGTGTGTGTGTGTGTGTATGTGTTTCTTTTTTCTTTTTCTTTCTTTTTTTTCTTTTCTTTTTTTTTTTGTTGTTGTTTTTCAAGATAGGGTTTCTCTGTGTAGTTTTGGTACCTGCCCTGGATCTTGCTCTGTAGCCCAGGCTGGCCTCGAACTCACAGAAGTCTGCCTGGCTCTGCCTCCCAAGTGCTGGAATTAAATAAAGGCCTGCGGGTTTTTTTTGAGATGTTTGTCTTATTTTATGTGGATGGGTGTTTTGCCTGCATGTATGTAGTGCACAAGGCAGCCAGAAGAGGGAGTTGTATCCCCTGGAACTGGAGTTACAGATGGTTGTGAGCCACCATATTGTTGCTGGGAATTGAACCCGGGTTCTCTGGAAGAACAGCCAGTGCTCTTAGTTAATCACTGAGCCATCTTCTCCCAGCCTTCTTTCTTTTTTTGAGGCAGGGTCTCATAGCTTGAACTTTTGGTCTTCCTGTCCCATGCTTTGGAGTGCTGGGATTAGAGCTGTTGCTAGCTACTGCATCCTCGTGGATCAGTGGACTCACAGAATTTGTATAACCCTGAGATGTTAAATAGCAATTATCCCACTTTAGAGATGAGGAAATGGAGGCATATGGACTTTTAGTGACTTGCCTAGAGTCACATAATAAGGTATAGAGTCATGCTGTTGCAGCTGCTACTCCTTTTCCTTCTCCCTGTTTCAGACTTTCAGTCCTTCTGCCTCAGCCTCTCAGTGCTTGGATTACAGGTGTTTCCCACCACGTGCAGCCAATTTAAGTTTTTAAGAAAACAAGTTATAAAACCTGAAATTGGGAATTATTAAACTTGATAAATAGATTAAAAGAATACTCTTGCCATTCAGCAGAGTTTGATTTTAGCTTGCCTATTAAGACAGTGATGAGCCTTCTTGCTACCATGATTTTAATTAATATGATGATTGCCTGACACTAGGTACAAGGTCTTAACTAATTAATACAATAATGCACAAGTATTAAAATGACGTCAACTGAAGGAGATCCAGTGCTCTCTTTTGGCCTCAAAGGGTTCCCTCACATAATGGCATATATACACATAAATTTAAAATATATATAAATCTTTTAAAAAATTGTATTTTTGTTTTTAAAGGATTTATTTTATGAATGTCAGTATCTTGCTTACATGCATGTCCACCATGTACATACATACAGTGTCCAGGAGACCATAGGGCGTGTGAGATCTCCTCCTGGAACTGTGGGTGCTGGGAATCAAACCCCTGTCCGATGCAAGAGCCAGAAGTGCTCTTAATTGGTGAATACTAGCATTCTCGTGTGTGTGTGTGTGTGTGTGTGTGTGTGTGTGTGTGTGTGTGTGTGTGTGTGTATGTATGTGAGAGAGAAATGTATATAATATATATGTATTTTATGTTAAGTGAAAAGAAGCAGGAAGTAGCACTACATTAGTACAATCCTGAGTTTACATTAAAGTATGTACAGATAGATACAGTTATCAGTCAAAACCAAAATATGCCTTCCAAAGATCTGTAAGAATGTTACTACTTACAATGTTGATCATCTTAGGTAATAAATTCCAGATAATTAAGAAATATATATATATTAAAAAATAACATGATTTCTAGTTATGTACAAATTCCATTACTAAAGCTGAGAATCATCTGGAGGAAAACGTCACCATTTCTTAGACATTCTCTACTGAAAAACATTTGTTTTGGTT